ACTTTGACATCGGCAGCAGCGCCTATTTCTACCCTAACGCGCCGCCACACCGGCAGCAGCAGCACCACCACCACCACCACTCTGGCGGCCGCGGCGGCGGAGGGTACGCCGGCGGCGCGCGGGACGGCGGCCGCGGGCGCGGCTTCTACGCCGTCGCCCGCGGCGACGCGCCGACCAGGGGCCGCGGCAGGAGGGCGAATCACAACTGAATCGTTTGCAGCGCTCACACTTGGAAGCTTTTGCTCAGCATTTGAAGCTACGTATCTCTCAGCTGAATGCAGCACTCACACTTGGCAGCTTGCTCAGCACTTGCAGCAACGCACCTTCCAGCAGGATGTAAAAAATGCACAACCGTCGCCCTGATTTCATGGGGTGCCGCTGCTGGGCTGCCAGCAGCCAGCCATGCATGCGAAGCTTTGCAGAGCGATGCCATGCAAAAGGCCCTCGCTTGCGTCGCGCCACGCGGCCAGCGCGTTCGCGTGCCGCCGCGGGATGCGGGGCGGGCGTGGTGCAATGCGGGCGTGCACTCAGGATGTAACATGACACCCCCCCTCAACACGCCCCCCTTTGGCTGGCGGTGTGCCCGCCTTAAGAATGGCAAGTTCTGGCCCGTTGTGCCAGTCCAGGCCCTGCTGTAGCATTGGGATCTCACTTAGCCCGAGGGCTTGTGAAGAGCGCGCGAGGTAACCCCCGTGCCTGTCTGGTGCTGACTGGCGCCCATGGCACCTGGTGCCCATGTCGCTGCCCCCTTGTGTGCTGCTAGCTAACAAGAGTATCAGACGAACAATCACTTCTGATTCATCATCACCGCTTCATGAAAAACACTGTATTCATAGATCACACTGTGACACCGGTGTTTGCGCGTCGCATGATCCATTGCGAAGCGTAGGCGCCTAAAAATAACATCTCCTCATTAGCCCAGCGCGCCTCTTGCATAGGCGCATCGTCACCTGTTTCACACCCGTCGCCATTTCCCGCTGCTGCTGCTGCCGCCGCCGCGGCTCGTGTTCTGCTTGCTAGCAGCGGCGCAATGAGCGCGGAAACGGGTCAACATGAAGCGGCTGTATCCCCGGGTGTCCCAGCTGCACCCGCAAACGCCCCCAGCGCGGTGCCTGCCGAACTGCAACCCGACACTCGCGGTGTGGCGGCGGCGGCGGTCGACCCCCAGGCGGCGCCTCTCCTCCCAACAGCAGCTGCCTCTCCAGCCGCAGCTGAGGAGCACCCCTTTGAGACAGACCCTGGAGACCACGCAGAGACGCCGTTTGAGGCGTACGAGCACCTAGAGCCACTCCTGGCGCGCCTGGCGCGGTAGGCACACAGCCGACCCCCGCTCCCGACTGCCCGGCCGACTGCCGCTGGGGTGCAGGCTGGAAGTAAAACCCGCTGCTGCGAGCGGCCCTAACCAGGCGGCACTTTCAGCTTCAGCGGCTGCTTCTCGTGCTGCTTGCCAGCCCCCGCAGCCAATAGCGCCGTCGCTTGGCACCCCGAAGCACTGGGGTGCGGGACGCCCCCAGTGGCCTGCCCTACCCCCCACTCTCGCGGTGCACTCCGGGCCATCCACACCTCCCCACTCTTGTTGCTCCAACCACAATACTTGACCGCAGGCGCCTGGGCACCACCAAGGCGGCGCTGCGCGTGTACGACCCATTCTACTGCGAGGGCCGAATGGTGCAGCACATGGCGCGGCTGGGGTTCGAGTCCGTGTACAACAGGTGGGCAGCTGCGCGGCAGCTGGACCGGCAGACCGCGGTGGCCGCGCCTGCGGGATGCAGGCCTTCAGGGGCAGCATCCTGCTGGGCAAAAGCATGCAGGGTCGGCATGGAATTATGGGCTAGGCCCACTCCCGCGCGCTGTTCCAATCAGCTGGAAAGCGTGGCAGCGCCCTGCGGCCCCACCGGCGCCACGGAGCCTCCCGGGCCCGCCCGTTGACCCTAATGCCGCATGGCCCCTCCCGCTGCCAATTCCTGGCCGCCGTCGCAGGAACGAGGACTTCTATCAGGTCAGGGCCGAGGGGCGCTGCCCTGAGTATGACGTGCTCCTCACCAACCCGCCCTTCAGCGGAGATCACTTGGAGCGCATATTCCGGTTCGCGGTCAACTCAAACAAGTGAGGGGGTTTGACCGGCCGCGGCGGGGCGCAGCAGCAGGCGCGGCGCTCGCCCAACGTACCATTATCAAATGGACGAGCAGAAGGCACATGGTCGGGTTTGGCCCTGTCAAGGGCAACGGGCAGGACGGCCTGGGGGCCTGGTCCAGGCGGCGGCTTCAGGTGTGGTTGATCTGGCCGCTCGTCGACACCCTCCCTCTGGTGGCTGTCGCCCCCTCCCAGGCCCTGGTTCCTGCTCATCCCGCAATATGTGGCCCGCAAGGCCTTCTACCTAGAGTGGCTCACCAACAGGCGCCCGAAGGGCGCACCCAAGCCGTCTTTCGTGGCCCCCACGCGCCAGCCCTACGTCTTTACTGCGCCGGACCGCGCAGGTGCGCGCCGCTCGGGTCCAGCAAGCGCGCCGCACGTGCGCACGCGTGCCGCAGGTCCAGTCGTAGACCGACGGAGGTTTGTTGCATGTGAGGGGCCGTGTGGCTCGACCTGACGGCGCCTGCCCGCGCATCCCTGGCGTGCAGATGTCCGGCTCATGCGGCTGGCGGACGGGCAACAGGCGGCGGCGGCAGCGGCGCCAGCAGCAGCGCAGCGGCAGGTGGCGGAAGGAGCCGCGTCGCAGGAGCAGGGAACGGCGCAAGGCCAGGTCGAGTGCTCCGGCTTGGGGGCGGATGGAGAGGCCGAACAGCACCAGGACCAACTCTCGCAGCAGCAGCAGCAGCAGCAGCAGCAGCAGCAGCAGCAGCAGCAGCAGCAGCAGCAACCAGCCTTATCAGACCAAGCCGCAGCCCCTGGCGCACTCGCCAGCAGCGGCGGCAGCAATGCAGCCGGGGAAGTTGCCGGTCTTCCACCAGATGCGGGCGCAGCACCCGCCGTCTCGGCGGCCCCGGCTGGACAGGCCTTCCAGGTCGCCGCGGGCAGCTTCCAGTGCGTGTGGTTCTTCAGCCTGGGGGAGCGCCACCACAAGCCGGTGGTGGAGTGGTGGGCCAACCAGCAGCAGCACCAGCGGGAGCAGCCGCAGCAGGAGCAGGAGGGGACAGCGGAGGACGCAGGCTCTAGAACAGCGGGCCCCAGCTGCACCGTTGTGTCGTCGATTAACGAGGTGCCGCAGGTGCGTCTTTGATGCCCGCAGCGATGATGCAGGAGCATGGTGCATGTGTGCCTGCATGCATGCGTGCTCGCATGGTGCATGCGTGAATGCGTGCACGGCTGACCAGCCTGTCATCTCGCTCATATCGACGCTCAGCCTGCCAGTCGCAACAACCGCGTCAATGTACTGCACCTGATATGTCCCCTCCTCCCTCCTCACCACTGCACTGCCCTGCATCGCAGCTGATGGCTGCTCCCAAGCTGACGCCTGCAGAGCGGAGGTGGCGGAAGAAGCAGCAGCAGGCGGGCGGGGAGCAGGCGGAAGGCGGCCAACAGCCAGAGCGTGGGGCGTCGGGCGGCAGGCAGGGTGAAAGCCGTGGTGGCCGGCAGCAGCAGCAGCGGCAGCAGGAGGGGGAGGCAGGCAGGAGTAGACAGGGCAGCAGGCAGGGTGAGCGGCCGAACACTGGCAGAGGCAGAGGGCAGGTGGCGGGGAGATCAAACGCGGTCAACAGCAGGCACTTCGGCTGATCGACGAGGCGTGAGTGTGCAGCCATGTGTTCAAATTTGTGAATTGCTTGTGGACCCTGTGTCATTCTGTATGGGCCTGCCCAAACCACCCACATGCACCTCGACGGTGACGTAGGGCGGCACCCGCCACAACCACCACGGAGGCCTAGCCTCTGGAATATGCTTACGTGCAATTCACTCATAATTGAAACATACGTGCATCAGGGATTAGACCTCGCCTGCCATTGCTTAGAGCGATGACAACTCAATCACGATCCAGGGCCGCGGCGAATTGAAATTGTACATCATTGAAGTCAAGCAATAATAGCACAAATTTTTGTGGAGTTGCGGACCCGCACTTTCACGACGCGAGCGGCAGCACAGCAGCGGCGACAGCGTGTGCGCGTCCACGCTGCCGTCGCTGCGGGGCTCCCGCGACACGTGCGAGCTCGGCGATGCAAGCAGCTGAATGTCTCATTTAACTAGCATCTGATCCGACCTCTAGTCTGGCCAGCGCACCTTTGCACCGCATACCCCAGCTGCCATTTGCCAGCTGTGCAACCTCAACAGCTTCTGTGGCAGCACAGCGCGGTGTCCAGCAGCCCTCCCGGCAACCGTACCAATCCCAGCGGCGGCAATAGCACGCACAGCATCATCATCATCATCAGCAGCAGCAGCGGCGGCAGGAGCAGCAGTGGTGGCGGGGGCAGCAACAGCAAGCGCGCTCCCGCAGCGCTCCCAGCAGCAGCGGCGGCGGCGGCGGCGGCGGCAGCGGCAGCAGCAGCGGCAGCAGCAGGGGCAGCAGCATGGAGGTCGAACTCGACGTCCACGCACCCCCACGCTCGTGGGCGCATTCGTTGCGCGAGTGGGGGGAGTTTTGCCAGCGAGTGTGGCTGTGCCGGCAGGACAAGCTTTTCAAGGTGGGGGGGACAGGTGACAGGCGGGGGGTGGTGATGAGCATCCGCAGGCTCCCATGACTCAGGGCAGGCCGTGGAGCGCAGGCGCGTCCGCTCGCGCATCGGCACCGATGCGCCTGCGCCCGCGACGCCAGCCCCATGCCCCAGGAGCGGTCCGCCGCCGCGTGGCTGCCCTGCCAACCGGTCACAGCAGCCGTCGGGCTCCCACGCCGGCTCCCCTGCGTCCACCTCTCAACCCCCCCCCCCCAACACACACACACACACCCCAG